AGTTATACTTAGATGCTAAAACATGCCCGATATTTTTTGCTTAAATGTACTATCGATTCGCTAAAATGTCCTCCGCCGATATATTTTGTTTTCAATGTTTCCTCTGATTAATGTTGATTATTGTTTCTGCTATATAATATATAAGAGTTTACCTCTATTGCATTTTCTGTTTTCTTAGTATTAAACGCTATTTTTAAGTCAATAAAAACACCACTTGTCAAATTTTGTTCGTCCGTAATGCTTTTCTTCATCGGAAACGCTTTAAACCAAACATTTGAAAGCCAATAATGAATAACATAGTAAATTACGTGAGGAGATATAATATGACCAATATGGACCTACACATCCTAGGTCAGTTATATATCCTTATCTTTTCGATGCAGTAAATTTCTTACGTGTTATTTTATTTTCAGTTTCAGGCTGAGATTTTAAGGAATCTATGAACACAAAAAAATCTTCTGACACAAAAGTCGAATAGTAAGCTTACTTTTTGGGGGTTTACAAAGGAGTCAAAATTAAATAAAATTGCATAGAAATATGTTTTGTAGATTGTCATTCTCATCCACCTTTTCCATGTTTCATGTCAACAGCAGTTTTTAACAATGAAGCAGCACATGGTCACCCATAAAATTCTGAAGTACTTTCTCTCCAAAAGTATTAGACGCCGTCATTATAACATCGTTACAAGGAACACAGCTCTTTGTACCAGTATTGTCCACGGTTGTTTTCAAGTGTTCCTATTCTATTCGTGTTTGATGTCGGGTTGCCAATTTGCATAATAAGAAATAGATACTTAAAGTGTTCATCTGGCAAGACTATCTCGCCGCTAATTTACATGGAAATTATTGATCACTAGGTGCCGTTATGTTTGAACCGCATCATAATTTATAACTGTAATGATGTCCGTAAAATATTCCATCACAACTTTGTAACAATCTGTTCAACCTGTATGAAATACATTTGTCTTCCTTTTTTCCTTGAATTTCTAAATTTAGCATTTACACAATTTTGAGAATATTATTTATGTTCACTGTTAACGGTTAACCTTGTCAAAGAAGTGTTTGCAATAAAGAAATGAAGTATTACAAAGAAATGTAAAATTGGAAGTGTGTTTTTTTTATTCAGTTTTAATTAATTTGTCTAGCACAACATGCGTGATGCAGTTACATATAGGTATTTTTTATAATTACAGTATAAATGCATCTTTATCCTTTACGTTACGTAAAAGTTGACTGTTTGGGCAATTATAATAATAACGACTTTATTCGTAAGCATAATAGCTGATATAATAATGCAAGTAACAAACATTCACAGCACAATAACATCAGCGTCCAGAAATATTTTCCTAAATTATTTAATTCATTTACATTACGAATAAACATTACTTGTACAAGTTTGAAACTGAATGGTCTCCTTCAATGAAAAGTTTTGATGTACATCCTTCTATTAAGTGTGGACTAGCACGGTGGATATCAACTTTGGGTGATCAGAATGGCACTGATTTGACTGTTAAATCATTCAATAATTTGATCATAGAAAAACAGTTACGCGAAATTACAATAGAAATCCTTTTAAGGGTGGCGTGAAATATTTGCTTACATAAAATGTTGATGCATCGAAAACTAAGCAACACTTGTCTAAGAAGTTAAATCAAGGGGAATAATCAATCCCGGGTAATTATTACGGGTATATTCACAGGTTGTGTCCCTTTTAACACTGTATTTAATATTATAACAACCATGTCAATCATTATATGATAAAGTCGTCATGCGACTAATTTTAATGACGGTTGATGAAACTGACAAGAAAAAGTTGTCAAACAACTGGTCAGTATAGCACCTATAGAAAAATGATGACAGATGTCCCCTACTCATTAGCATTAAAAGAAAACAGTTAAATGTTTGATAGACTTAATCCTTGTATTAATGGTGAAGAATACAAACTGGACAATTCTTTGGTGGATTGTACGGGTGTCAATAATTTGGTTTCTTTATTTTGATTAATACCTCCCAAGATTATTTTATATTATCATTTTACTTTGATGCATCTTTACCCGAATCATAATGTATTTGCACGTTAAAGACTGAATATATAATAGTATTTTAATTTTCTTTGCCATGTGCCTTGTCTTTTTTAATATATTATTATTGCAAATGCTTTAGTATTATATGTATATATTATCACTGTTGCCTCTTGTTGTAGTTTATGCTGTCTGCGAATAAATAAAATCTTGAAATATTACAGGAATAAACGTCATTAATCTTTTACGAATTTAAGTTATTTGTAAAGTGTAACAACGACCACTACCCTTTTTTTTTCAAAGAGGGAATACAACTGCTTAATTACCAAATAGACGTATCAGTTCATTTCGAAATAAACAAATGGGTCTGTTGTTTTTGTATTTATGTTCATTTAACAGGGTTTATAAAATATTTTAGTCAAATAAATAATATTTGATTTAATTTAAAATGATGAAAGGTCAAATGAAAAACCCTCTGTAGTTCTCCGGTTAAAAATTCTTACTGATTGGTTTTAAAATAAACATTTAGCAAGTACAGCCATGTAGCAAAAATAATACTCAACTTCCCTTAACTTTTATAAATTATTTCTACATTAAGGGTAAAAAGGTAAAATTTGTTTACGAATGATATCAAATATGTACAAGTGCGGTCAAAATATAAAACATAAAAATATTGGCTAAAATTTTCCGAACAAGCCTTTAAAGTGCACTTATAAATTGATGATGAACATTTATGATTTTTTTTATCTAAATTTTGAATGTCGAAGTGACCCGATACGTGCTACCTGTTGAAATGGTGACCTTCAAATTAAGGTTTTGTTTGTACAAAATGGACTATAAGTGCAATTAGTCCGTCTTCTCGTTAAGATAAATTCACTTAGGACTAACATGGTAACGAAGTGTTAATGCTATTACAGTGTCTGTGACCTTAGGATGTTAATCCGTAACATTTCACTGCGAATTAAGGCTCTTGTTATTCCGTTTTGACACTTTTTAATTATTACGACTTTTTCATCTTATCTACGGTGATCATTATTAGATATGTTCCAATCAAATTATGTGACAAAATTGAATTTTCCAAATACCTTTTGACACCTTCGGATATTAACAAGACTTAAAGTATTACTCTGGATCCTCCAAATTGTTTTACTTAGGAAGAATATTGAGGAAGATTTAATAATTGAATAAATAACGACAGATTTATCAAAATGAGTTTTTTTTTCGTACAATTTTTAGGTTTTTCGTTATATACCCCATGGTTTGGTTCAGATTTATCTATCATTGAAAAGCTCACGTTCCATTTTTACGAATAAATATAATCACTTCTGCCAATGCCGTTCCTGACAATTTTTGACGGTTTTATGATGTGGCTTTTCTTCTTATTTTATCAAAATCGGAGACTTATAATATCATTAGTCTTATATGTCTCTGTTAAAATTTAGACATTTCTGTAACCATACAAATATAAATGTAGAAATCCCTCCCATTTCCTGGCTGAAATCTAGTTCTTGAATATTGTTCACACGTGCTTCCTAAAAAAATATATGATTATTTTTGTCAGTTTTTTTCTCTGCCACCAATAGATTATGAATGTTGTTGACAAGAGAATATATTTTTATTATAGAAACCTTTCTTACCAAATTGATAACATTGTTATTAAGGTTAAAGTTATTATAATTTCATTCGTTTTAGGGAGAAAGTCTCTTTTTACAATATATTCATAAATATGTTCACAGAAGAAATAAATACTTGTGTTTCTTTATTTGAGGCTGCATACGGTCTAGCCCATAATTAAATAAATAACTGAATTAAGGAATTAGAAAAATTAAACTTGAACTTGAAACACGAGGTACAATTTTTTTTTGTAATTTCTGATTTTTTTGGACCTGAAATTTCAAATTCATATTTATACTAATGCAATTTTTTTATTTTTGTGTTTCGATATTATCAGTATTTTTTAAATCAGTTCTTCATGGGGAAGCTAACTTTACTTTTGCATATAGAAAGTGATAAGTGTCCTAATAATTCATAATAAAATTTTCACACCTATCATTATTATATTTGAATGGTTTGTGACAGTTGTAAGTGCTAACAGCAATAACGTCTGTCTAGCGAGACTTACTAAGTACTTGTACTAAGTCTGCGTACATGCTGATAGCATCTTAAGTTCCGCTATAATCATATGAAAATTATATTAATAATTGTTAATTCTGTAATTACATATGCCACGGATTAAGTAATTAGGAAAATCAGACGGTCATGTGTATTGTGTATTGAACAAAAGGAAAAATAAAATATTTTTAGAACAACAAATAAAAAAAATTAGAACAACAAATTAACTTACAAAATATATATTTACAGTGTTGCTATTTGTTGGTTGATGAATAAACAATTTCCTTCAACAGTTGTCGGATACCAAAGTAATTGTAGCGAGTTATATGATAAATTCATCTGTAATTGTCTAAACGAAGATCCTTTTATTAAAATCAACCATCAAAATCAATTTGTTTTTTGGTTTTTGTTTTATTCATTTTAATGTTTGTCTTCTGTGAATGAGAGATAAATCCATTTGCTTCAAAACCGTTAATTTTGTTATTATAACTTAATATAATTATAATATTTATTGTAAATTTTATCCAAATCTTTAATATAAATATGTCAAGTATTACAAAATTTCAATGATCCGTAAAATTCAATACACGTGAAGACGGATAATTACTGAGTGAAACTGAATTATCAAATTATAAACAAATCTTCCATTTGAATTCTTCAATATTTTGCCCTTAGAGATTCATATTTAAATTAGCGCGTGGCTAATGATAATAAGGCTCTTCGGGGATTGGCTGGCTTACTTTCTAAAGACAGTAGCCATTGCTTTTCTATTTGTGACGTCACTAACAAGTACATGCCCATAAGGCGAAGCAAAGGGGTATATATTCATGATTGATATGGTTCTTGCTATATCAAGCTTGATAAGCAGTCTTTATATATTCACAAATCTTTCTTACATTGGGGAGTTAAAAGTTATCAGTTTTAAAACTTTGTTACAGTTACATTATGGTATGATCCACTGTGTTGAAATTTGATAGGAGAATAAGAGTCTAGCAAGATAATACTGTCGGAGCGAGATCAATGGGACTTTATCTTTAAACAGATACTTACCAAAAGTGATTTTCATTCATTCAAAATATTTTAAAATTGTTATTTCTGGTCCTGAGAGGATAAGAAGACAATAGTGTTTTTGTTACAATAAACGGACTCTATGAGCGAACATATATCACTAGAAGAATTCGTAGCCAGTGTTCATAATCAAGATTCCAAGATGACCATGCATCATTTAGAAACCGTACCAACAGGCTCCACAGAATCCTCATTAACTGTACCTCACAGCACACATAATACACATGCTACAATGCTTGAGTCTCCGAGCTCTACAGAAAGTTCCTTGGATAAAGGCCATTCTGGTAAGAAACTTAAATAATGTTAAGATAAATTTTATAAGATTGCATAGGGTTTCGTAAATTATATGTACACCTCTCGAGTAAAATACCATACAAGATACATATATATAGCTATGCATTAAGCAAAACAAAAAGTAATTACATTCTAACATTAGAATATTTCCAATATTATGTGAAAAAATACTTATATATATATTTTTGAAAAATATTTCTATCTTCTTCCACTCTGATGAATGCTATTTGATTTTACTTTTATAAGTGGGGAATAAATCATTTAAACAAGATATAATACCAGACTCTCTAAGCACAGCACGGTCCTTGTGAGTTTTTTTGCAATAAAATTTGATGGATTTTAAAGACATAAGTGTGACCTTTGTCTTGTCAAGTACGTTTCAAGAGGACTTTTTGAATGACGCTTGTCAATTCCTTACTGAAAAATAAGTTTCATTTATTATTACAGTGCCATGCAGTACTTTAGTTCGACTTTTCTTTTACTATTAATATTGCATGATTTTATTAATATTTAAGAATAATTGTGGAAATATATTAGATTTATGACTCTTCAATTTTATTAATTTTAACATTAGCCCAGACATTTTGTTTTCTGGGGGTAGTTTACCATTACATATATGTTTGAGATGCTGTTGAATATAAGTATTCTCAGTAGCTCTTTGGTGCCATGATTTCAAGTGAAAGTATTATTTTTGTTAAATGAAGCTAATTTGTGGTTTACTTCACACGGTTAAGCATATTGAACATGTTTTTTTTCTATTCTTTTGAATTATACAATCAAAATATGTTACAAAAAACAAACACTAAATTTATTTTTACAAATATTAAGAAACTTAATTTATTAGCAACTAAACAATTAAACGTTACACAAAAAAATTATTTGCATGCATGGTTATAATGTGTGTGTTTTATTCGACCATATATAATGTATAATTAAAAAGGTTAAAGATAAAAACATAGCATTCATGCTGACACAAAAGAAAAGGTTAAGTTTATGAAAGGTAGCTGATTTCTTAATAGATTTAACCAGCACTGTCGAGTAACATGATACCCACAAACGGCGATAAACATCGATCTTTATTAATTTTAATGTTGGTAAAACTAAAAAAGCAATGATGTTTATGTTATACAATGTTTTTATTTGATTCCAAATGCAAATCCCATCAAGAAACATATATTTAAACACTGCAAAAGTGCCTAAATGAATTTTCTTGCATGCGAATGATTTACACTGTCTTGACCACAATTTAAATGCAATTATTACTTTCTTTCCTTTATCCATGGGTGACAGTTTACCTTTTTATGAAGATAAATATCTTCGCAAGCTAAAATGTTCTTTCTTTTAATGTATCATGCTATAGTATGCATGTTTCAATTAAGAGGAAAGTATTTTAAAGATATTTAAATTTACATCAAATTACTCAAGTAGTTTCCCAGTAGGGTTAGATCTTTTTGACAAGTACTTTTTAGAAAAGCCACTTGCCTCCATAAATTCCTATGTCGATGAAAAGTAAAGGCGCCCGGGTTCATAGTATATTACTTTTAAGTGTACATATCTCTGAATTAAATCTAACGAAGAGGAATGAAATTAACTCTTGAATATTGGTGAAATTCGTTTGTTTTCATTATTAATGTCAGAGTGTGATAGCTTTGCCATATCTGTTAGTTATTGAGATCACGATTTTTGGTCCAAATTGTTCTTATGTATTTTATTTTAGCAATGTCAGTATTTTTCAAGTACAGGAATTATGTAGAAAATGATATTAATGTTATTGAGTTATGTTTCAATTACAATTAATGTCACAGACTAATTTGCTATTGGAGTAACAGTCCGTCTCAATTGCATGTCAAATATATGTGTCTTTTTATCCCATAGTTTACACATAATTTAAATGGGTTTTTGAAATAATTTATGTAAATGAACTATTAACTACGTGTTTTGTTGTCTTTAAATGTGTGGAATTTTAAACAATCTCTATTTAGTTAAAACTTTCAAATGTAGTAAATTATTTAATTCTATTTAATAAGAATGATTTATAGGCGTATGAATTGAATTTTGTTCTTCAAATTCTTAAATAAAACTATAAACCCTTTAAATAAATTTACTTTATCTTCAAATTAAAACGGATTACTTAAGTGTTAAATGAACTTTGTTTTATTTTGTGATTCGATTTGACCGAAAATACATTAAATTACAAAAACTTTGAATCCTAATGAATTTGTAAATTTTCGAAGTATTCTGGTGTAAATATTTGCTCATGCAAGTTCCTTGTTTTTTTTTCTATCGGTAGTGTCGGACACTTTTAAACAGCGATAACAAGTTGAATATGATATATATTTCTATACATGATACATATTTGGACAATCTTTAAGAAGATAGAAAATTTTTTATACACTACTCTTATACACGGTCGATGTTTTTAAAGAAACAAAGGATTTTTGTTAATGCATCTTATATTCGTTATAAAAATATTGAACACGTCCATTAGATATTTTCGTTTTCTTCCAACAGAATCTCTTGATAGTTCCAAGTTGAAATGCGAAGATAGCGGATCGGAAGATGACAAAAAGAAAAAAAGACAGCGTCGACAGAGAACCCATTTTACTAGTCAGCAATTACAAGAACTGGAAGCAACCTTCGCCAGGAATCGTTATCCAGACATGGCTACAAGGGAGGAAATATCTGCCTGGACCAACTTAACGGAAGCACGAGTCCGAGTAAGTTTTCTCTTTATTCATGCAATATTATATTAATTATAGCATGTTTAATAATATTAAATAAAAAATTAAAAAGTATTTTAGGGTTCTGCGAGGTCTCATAACACTACTTTTTACAGTGTCTTAACCAACCAACCTTTCACATACGTGTTTTCATTCGAAATATATAAACATTTACAAATTGTTTCTATCATAATATAGTAAAAATTCGGGAATTTCATGACAGGTTTTTATCTCTAATTCTTCGAGTATTTATTGCAAAGAAACAACAAATTACAGTTAATAGTTATGACTTATGATTTTCCTATCCAGAAATCTTTTCAATCTGACACGTTTTGTAATTTGCTAATAACCATATCAGTTTATCTAGATGTATTTGATTTAAGATACACAAATAATTGCATAAGGTGTTAGAAAAGTTATCAGCATTCGAATGCATTGATAGGAGGGGGTGAGAAGTTTATACAATAAATTTTATCACATTTTAACGGATAGTTTTCAAGTGCCATGTTAAACTTCCCACCCCTAATTTGCTACCGCAGCTTGCTGTCAGATTTGATCAAGATACAGAAATTTCAGCTTTTTTTAATACAATTTCATGGGTTTTAGAAGTCAATTTTTTCCTCTGAAATTAGAACTTCAAATTACTTTACAAAGTAAAAAAAAATTATTTATATAATTTCTATTTTAAAACTTATTTTTTATAACATTTTAGATTGATTGAAAACATGAACCAAACATTGAAATTTTTTCACTTACTTGCAATATTCCTCTTGATAATAATTTATTAATATGGGAGGTTAAATATTGGATTTGAACAATATACCACTTATCTGTGCTAATAAGTTTGATATACAGTAGCTATCCTTTATAAAGCTTAATTAGTTTTCTAAATTGACTGTAAATTTACACAATAAATTTTTATAAATTTCTTACGGAGAATTAATAGCTGATATCCAAGTTTATGATTTAATAAAGTAGTAGATCTCCACCGTTTCCAAACAGACTTCCCTTATATAATGGCCACTATTCAAACAACATATGACGTTTTCAAAATGATATTGAATTTTCTACAGATAAATGTTTAACTGATAGAAAAATTTTATCTTTTTATATGTCTGACATAGACCGGACATATCCATTAACATGTAATTAGTAAATTTATTTTGTTGACAGAATTCTATGACATTCAATATTTATTATTAAATTGTAGGTCTGGTTCAAGAACAGAAGAGCAAAATGGAGAAAAAGGGAAAGGAACATTGATACTTTCAAAACTGGATTCGGATCGCAATTCACAGGACTTATGCAGACACCGTTTGACGATTCTATCTACAACGGATACACGAATCCAAATTACTGGGCTACAAAAGTTCCCAGCCCATTGGGCGCAAAAACATTTCCATGGGGTCTGAATTCTGTTAATCCTCATTTGTCTTCCGTAGTTTCTACACAACCGATGTGTTTCTCTTCGCCATCCAGCATGTCAAACAGTATCAGCAATGCTATGGTGCAAAATGTTCAGAATGTACCAACGAATATGGGTGCCACAGGAACACCGTGCCCATATGGACCACCCGGTGCCCAGTATTTATACACAGCAAATAGAGACCAGTGTTCAAGTAGTATCGCTTCTCTTAGACTACGAGCTAAACAACATTCGACATTTGGTTATCCCCCTAGACAGCCATCATTGTCTGCATGTCAATATGCAACTGTTGGTAATGGAAGTGTCGTTTGATAGATATAACATTGAGATATATATATAATTGACATGAACTGGATCTTCGGTTTACACATCAAGACTATCAGTAGATGGACAAAGAACTGATTCCTTGCGTATCTTGCCACGATTAACTAAGACACTGCCAGTAATAGATGTAAGAATGGTTTTGTCAGAATAATAGTACATGAAAATGACTGTATCTTGAGAAATGTGTATACGATGTATGAACAAAATGTATATATATGTTGACAACACGTGTAAACAGCAGTTGTTAGAACTACATGTATACACATATTTATTGTTTTGTTAATATGATATAGAGTAAGATGTCTAGTCTAGTCCAAGAGCAATATGTTTGCAACATTTCATCTATCATAGTGCTTTTGCTGCCCTCTCGCAGTAACTACAATATAAACTTGAGAATTTTGATAATTCTCTGAAATATGTTGTTTACAATAAAATATCAGAAATAAATTTTATTGAAATTCAATTTTGCCTAAATATTTTTCGTATAAATTCGGTATTCGCCGATTTTTTCCCACTCATTATCCAGTTGTATTTTATTCATATATTAATGAATTTACATTTATGACAATATTTTTAATCAAAACAAAATTTAACTCTATGGTACACATGCAAAAATACACCCCCCCCCTAAAAAAAAACAACAAAACAACACCAAGATAAACATTTGCAATTTGGTGTATAGTTTTGAAGCGATGGATCACTCCCAACTAGGGTTTTTATTATGTACTCTTTCCCTGTAGTATAAGCAGACTTGGTGCATGAGTAAACAGAAATATAAGAGATTGAAGAATGGGTACATATTTTTTATAGTTCGATAAGGAATAATATAAGGAGATGTGTGGTACATGTCAATGACACAGCAAGCCAACAATACGAATAACCAAACGACAGTTAGAGGTCAATGTACTGTCTTCATCAACTGACCATAGGTAAATATCAATACTATATGTCAAGCTCTGAATCGCCATCAATCATTCCAATAAATTAAACAGATTATCAAAGATATGCATGCAGGTGATGCCATCAAACTAAAATTATAGAAATAACAACTAAAAACCGTGAAGATACGTTAAAATACAACAACTGATGAGGGACCTGGTTTGGGACAGACACATGAACATCTGACGGGATTAAACCAATGTTTTATTATATCTCAACCCTCTTCTATTTTAAACTAGGTTCGTAGACTTACGAAAGGTACATAAAAGAACATACAAAAAGCACAGGAAAACATTAAACTATAAAATGGTTAAATAGATGATTTAATTGTTGGTTGCTTAACGTCCAGTAGCAAATATTTCATGCATGTTCAGGACGATGGTTGAATAGATATCAAAAACATAAAGTACAAACAAAACACTAACGAACAATATACTGTATTGAAGAATGGTAGCAGTTATTGCCGAAGAAAGCTTAAAGTTCTCAACCTGCTGACACAAAATTATCCGTCCTACACCCAAATATCGATGGCGGTACACCATAGTAGCCTTCAAACAACAATGTCGTAAATAGTCAAAAAGACACAATCTTTCACAATGCACAGAACATATTGTACATAATTTCAAGTCAGAAAAGAATGAACCATTTTAGTTTTGCTTCAAACTATCAATAAGTTCACCCTCTCTCCCTCCATAAAAACAAAAGAAATATATACTAGTCAACAAAAGAAACGATATAAGGCAGTGCATTTTCCATATATAATGAAATTGGATACACTGTACAAAGGTAAATAATTGTCCAATTGGTCTAATATTTACAGAGCGTTATTTTCATATCAAAACCATTGATTTAAGGAAAATACGCGAATTATTTTTTTTTGCTTTTTTTGTTATTCCAAAAATCGTATTTTCACCCTAAAATTCAAAAATCGATATTAGAACTAAAAACTTTATACTTAAACATGGTCTGCTTTAAATTATGAATGCCTTTGCAGATATTTGAATACTTAATTCTCATCTTCGAAATTAAGTGCCGACTTTTGTCATCATTTTCCGCAAAATAAATTTGACCCCTGTGTTCAAAAACACGGTATTTTCTCACTTTCCAATTTGGTCAGATGCTTTTAATCATATGCATTTGCTTTGCAAATGAATGTTTTTTCATTGGATAATTTAACAGTTTTTCCTATTTATTATATTTTATGATAAATTGGAGTTCAAACTTGTGTATCGTTACTTTTGTTGACTAGTATATAACATATCAATGAATCTATAAATCCAAAATGAAAAAGAACAATTACCAAACGTGTTAGCTTGATCAACATAATGGTCAATCCTTAAAGATAATATAGTTATGTAGCTACTCCACATGGTGGAAAAACTACTTACAATAATTTAAATGCACCGAACTTGCTTCGTAACGTCTACAAAGTGTTAAAAGAAACCTCTCTGATTGGTTCAAAAGTAACTGTTCAAAACTTTTATACTCTAAAATAGTCATCTTGATCCTTTTTACGCAATTTATTTTACCTATAGAAGAAATATCTATACTTTGCGTAGTACAGTATTCGTATCTAATAGAAAAAAAACAGGGGAAAACAATATGGCTTTGCCATGAATACAATATTACAATATATCGAATTTTGAACAGATATATCATGTTAAGGAGGGGTATTTGCGAAAAATACCAGTCGAGAGAATGTTAAATTTTGCGAGCCGCAAATACCCCTCAAGAACATGCTATATCTGTTTAATTACACCGAATGATAACGTTCAAAAACGCATTGATGATCATGACGTTACAAGTCGGATAGAGCATTTTTTGGCAAATACCACGGCAGAGAGGGTAAAAAAGGCATATCCTTTTTGCATATACCCCGGCGGCGTTAAAAAATGAACGATATTCATTTGATAACAGTAAATTGGTGAAAAATACACTGGCTATCAACCAATCAAAACCCAGGATTCTTACATAAGGTGTAATTAAATACAATACACCATTCCTGCATTTCGAAGGTAATGATAACATTTTTATTATTCCATCTCCATGCGACAATACATCATAGCTGACGAGGAAGTGCGCTCCTCGGTTAAAACAAGGAAAGAACAAAAAATGACTACCGATAACTTGTTGGGCTGAATTGACGAAGTATATGTAGGTAGTGTCAGCTCTATATAATCTAAAGTTACCCATGTATCTGATAGAGAATGTCTGTCGTAAAGTTATCGCAAATTATATGTACATTTATAATTTTATAGGTGGGCATCGTCCTTGACATCTTTGTAATATTGGCCACTGGATCTTACAATTGAAACTAACCCTTATACAACAACAGTATTATCATTAACCAACAGAATAAACCTTGAAATTCATACAGTTTTACGCAGCACACTTAGATCTACTGACGCTATAAACTGTACGATAACCTGCACATATTGTGCTCTCTGGTCAAAGGTAACTTTTCGGTTAATAAAGTATAAAGTTCATGTGTCAGTGGTAAGTTTCATTCAGGCAATAAAGTTTCAAAGCATTGTTTTTTCGGCTCTTATATTTCACTCAGTATAATGTCTTTCTCTTTCACACCGAATTTTGTGCAATTGAGATATTCCTTCTAGTCTAGACGTGTCATCTTAATGTAATAAAACGATGTAACAAATAAAATAAATATTTCATTATGTAAATTGATTCGTAAAATAAAGCATGAGATCGTTAATGAATAACAGAGCACAATAACTTTGATATGCTTCTTCCGTTTTTACTTTTTACAAATAATAATGAACATATTAGATATAGAATAAATTATTAAATGTATACTGAATGGTCGACTTCAAGCTTGAATTGGCCATTAAAGGCGTTCGTCTGTCGTCACCATTTACATATTTTTTTATAAAGCTGTACATATTTTGACCGTTAAAAGCAAAATCAAGTTTGAAACAATTCTAGGATGGTTTTGACCATTTTATATGACGACCAATATCACTGTCGTTATTACAAATATGATATGAAAATGAAATCATAACTTATTAAAATCTGGAAAAAAAAACGTAGAAAGCCAGATATCACCAATCTTAACGGATTGATCACATGATCCCAAATTGACAGTGGGGGTTTATGGGAAAACTTATTTTTGATTTTATAGATGTTACAAATAACCAAATCTATACACGCAAAAATTAGTATCATACGAAAATAAAATGATGGCTAACATTCATATAAAATAATCAAATGTGCGAGTGTATTCACTTGACTGTGTTTAACATATGGTAAATACTAGTATCGAAATAATTGCACCTACTTGAAAATCAAAATGCATGAATATTAAAGCCCGGATTTGTATTACAAAGTATTGATATATTGCAATTTGAAATTTAAAGGTCCAGCACAACGTTTTTGCAGAATAAAATTGGTCAAAACATTTTTCCCAATGTCTGTGGAGAAACATAAGTAAAAGACAAAGAAATCTATCCTCATTCTTGGTGGATCGCCTCGAGTGTTTTACTAGTCTCATATGATCTTCCATAGAATAGGGAATCAATAAGCTGGAAGAAAACAATTATTGCGTTCAGATTCGTACATAAGTCTTGGTTTGTACATTTAGTAGCCGTACCCAACGACTGCTTATCAGTACCCTCATATGGCAAATCTACACACTGAGTCCGCTGTTTTAGTTCGACACTAAACCGTGTAGTGACCGGTAATTTGTCGTGATATCTACCTTCTACAGATGCTACTTCATCATGAGTAATATGTTTAATCTGACCAGGTAGTAACTTGAATGCCAAAAAGGAGGGCCGTATCAAATCAATTATATACAATTGTCAACAAATAGAAAGATAAAAGTGAGAATGGAAATGGGGAATATGTCAAAGAGACAACAACCCGACCAAAGAGCAGACAACAGCCGAAGGCCACCAATGGGTCTTCAATGCAGCGAGAATATCCCGCACCCGGAGGTGGTCCTCAGCTGGCCCCTAAATAAAGTTGTGTGCTAGTTCAGTGAAAATGGACGCCACACTAAACTCCAAAACATATAAATGAACTAAAATTTAAAAAAACATACTAAACTAACAAAGGCCAGAGGCTCCTGACTTGGGACAGGCGCAAAAATGCGGCGGGGTTAAACATGTTTTGTGAGATCTCAACCCTCTCCCTATACATCTAGCCAATGTAGAATAAAGAAACACATAGCAATACGCACAGTAAAACTCAGTTCAAAAGAAGTCCGAGTCCGATGTCAGAATAGGTAACAAAAGAAACTAAGCAAAATGACAATGATACATAAATGAGCAAAGGACTACTAGCAGTTACTGACATGCCAGCTCCAGACCTCAATTAAACTGATTGAAAGATTATGTCTTCATCATATGAAAATCAAGTACAATCCCTCCCGTTAGGGTTTAGTATCATACCATCATAAAATATATGAGAAGAACATAACCCGTATCATGCCAACAACTGGTTTTAGAATAAATGTGTTTATTTCCGATGCAAAGACCCTATGAGTGAATCAATATTAATACAAAA